CATTTGGGTGACTTAGTATCTCATATATGTGTAGGTCTCCCATCACAAACCGATTGAACGGGGGTATTAGGATTCCTATTACCAGTAATATTAATAGCCAGTACACACCTTTCCGGCCTAATTTATAAAGCACTAGAAAAGCTATCGGTGCCATTGCGTACAATTGAAAATCCATTGATGAATACCTTAATATAAATAACAATGGAATATTAATAAACATATAAATACTGATATAATGAATGCGAACCATGTTATTGTCAAACACTGTTAAAAAATGAAAAAATAATATTAATAACAATTTATAATATATTAATCATTCAAACAAACCTGAAATGATGACAAAATAGTAGTGTTTTCATTTGGATAGTAAAGTATATTATTTGTCATTAACAGTGGTTTATACCATCTCTCATAACAAGGTTCAACAAAATATACAAGCACAGTTCTCCAGAATGGACCTTTGTAACAAGATTAAATATTTTCCAATAGAATAGTTAATCAATTATGTTAAAAGTAGAAATATGACAAATATTTACCTGAACCAGTAAACTCATATAAATAGGTGATAAACAATGCAAATATAATAATAGGTGTTAATCGTAGATATCTACCAAATTTTAAGAAATAATAGAAAGTTACCGTCTATTTTAATTATATATAATAATACACATTACCTGAAAATTAAATAATTTAAATAATTAAACTGTCCATTACTTTTGTCGAGTTTTGATAACATAGTACTACACAATATAAAACCTAATCAACAAACAGATTATTCTAATTAATTACTAATAATCAATACAACAAATTAAAAACCTGTGATTATCATAAAGTTATCCATAAGTAATATATTTGGAAAAATCATATTTCTATAATCGTGAATCATTTTATAAGAAGAGCTGAGAAAAAAGTTTTTGTCGCTCAGGACTACACATCCAGACTCATAGGTGTGAAGGATAACTACCCAAATGGTAAGACAGGCCCGGTATCCGTCTAATGCCTTGAATTTTCCATATTGTTTGAGACTAAACATAGATTCGGCACTATTTCTGGCGGCAAAACAATTTACTACAAATGCAATTGAAGTCCCTTTTATTAATCGTTTAATAAATGATCCAGGAGGTAGACAATCAATAAAAGTGCTCAACACAAACGTGATCACAACAGCACTGATGGCCACACTATATAAATAAAAAAATATGTTTAAAGATAAGTTATCAAACTTTAAATTGTTAATACACTGAGACTATTTGATATTTATTGAGTTTAATAGGTTTTTCCAAATAATCGCAGTCGTCGTCTAAAATGATCGGAAGTCGAGTAATTGGATACGAGACTGAAGTATAGATTGATTTCATGAGTATAACAGACATATTAACATTAAAACAAAAGCTTACATTCGGTGAGGGCTGCGGACACATCGCTAGCCTTACAAGTTGTGGGCAAACAAAGTCCGTTCATTAGTCTTATGTTATCATACAGCTGGTTATCAATCAACTCAATGCCTTCCGCGAGATCATTGGGTGTCATACGATAGATAACTTTCCTGTAGTTCCCAAAGAATTGATTGAAATAGTTTTTGTAATTGAAAGCAGTGTTTTGAGGCAACTTCTGGCCAATGTTTTCCAGATATTCCCGGGGCACTGAATGGGGACTTATATCCATATTGTCCCTGATATTCATTCCACAGTATTGTCCATAGATTTTAGGTTTATCTTCTTCATCGGGACTTTCAATATTCACACACTCGTCGTAATTACCAAATATGGCTACACTCATTTCTACCATTCCTGATGGGGGTCGGGGCTGTGCCTCAAAGACTTAAAATTTGGAAATTGTGTAGAATTTAGTAATTTATTGTGTAATAAAATTGTAGTCGAGGTATAACTTACACTTAAGGGCCCAAACCTCTCCATTTCTGGCGGCACTCATAATCCTCATGAGAGATGTCATGCAATTTGGCTCCAAATTAATTGTCATCAATGCTTCTGACATACGATTTGTGATCCGTTTATTAAATTCACTCATTTTTCTGCTTATATTTTG